CATCTTTGTCTTACATGGACACCAGATTTATTGCGTAATTTGTCTTCAGGCCAGTTCTGGATGATATATCAGAACATAAAAATTTGTAAGCCCTCAGAGGATTGTAGCACAAGAATCTCAAATCAAACAGGTTGGTGAGCATTGTCGTGCTAAAATGATCAATGATGTTCAATAGTTCAATTCAAAGCCTGATTTCATGTTTTCCAAGCACAAGTTACCGCATACACCTATGCTAAGAGTGCACACCCTTGAGAATCACATTTAAGAAACCTTCAGACACTGTGTGCAGAACTCAGCAGTACCTGTGCAAGACGAGTGTTCTCTTCCGTTAACTGCTGAACTATCTTCTGGAGCTCTTTGACTCGCGAATCAGCCTGCAAACGAATTCAATTAGGATTACATCTGCTATCAGATTTTCAATAGTGAAACAATTACCGAACGCTCATCGTTTGAAACAAGAGTGGTTTCCGGCGACAGCATCTGCACTCTACAAAAGAAATGACATTCCACTGCAATCACGACAGACAACGCTTCAAAATTTCACCCTTCCGTTAATGCAGTTCGTAGATTGGGGACCTCCGGAATAGTACTTGGATCCAGCAACGCCTTCAGCTGATCCCTTTCTCTGATTAAATTGAACAGCTTTTGTCGATAGTTCGCTTCTATATCGTCAAACTCATCGCAGAGCTGGAAAGAGAGAAAACATAAAGCAGCGCCACCAGATAAAAAAATTGTATAAACTCACATCACCCAAACGGTCAACTTCTTTCGATTTCAATTCCAGTAATCGTTTGAGTTCCTTTATTTCCTTCTCGGCTTCTTTCGAGTTCTGTCCAAAATTGTAGTGGAACAACTATTATTCCCATATTAGATAATAGATCTCCAACCTGCTCAGCTTCTCTATTACAAGTTTCAGCGAGTTTCGTTTCCAGAAGCAAATATTTCTCCATCAACTCTTCGGTTTTTTGACGATATTGATTCATCTGGATTTCGGCTTCATCGAGCGCGGCTTTGCTCTTACGTAATTCCTTATCCAAGCGAGCCACCTCTGCAGCCGCTGCATCAACCTGGAACACCCTTTGTATTTCTAATAAATAAACTTATAAAATATCCCAATAGTACTCTCAGCGTGCTATAGAAATACAGTTCAATACAGTAGTGCTCTACGGAGGAATAAACATCGAACTCAACACAGGCGTGAACAAACGGAACACTTTACAAAGCATCTCCCATCAAATGATTTACCCGAAACAGTGTATGGTCCCCGATTTACCCCGATGAACGACTAAAGGAAGAAGAACAAAATATCAGTCAGGGCCAAATGACAAATACACAAAGCGATTCGACAACTTTTGATAGAAGCAAGACATATGGCTTTTCATCATGAGTTACCAATTTAGTGCTTCTCTTAACTAACTGGAACCTTTTTCTTTTCTATTCTTGGAAAGTCACATTTGAAAGCTCTGACTTGTGTACATGAGAAACTCGTACCTTTTCCTTTGCCAAACGTTCCTCAATAAACTAGGCGGCTCTCGAGGGCAGCTATCGATTGCTTTAGTTCTTCGGATACCTGAACAAAACTTGCTTACAGAGCTCTATACATTTTCACAATAACACTGGAATAGAAACGGAGAGCACCACCTTTTGTGCTGCGCTGCGCTCCACGTCAAACAGCTTTTTGGCTTTTTCGTATTCTTTTTCGACTTCCTCCTTTGCTTCTTGCAGAGAGCGATACTGTCCTTCAAGCGCAGTGAGAGCAATAGTTGCCTAAACAAAACGATTTAACGGACCAAACTCTAATGAAGGCCTTGTTAAAATTCCAGACATTTTCGTGGGTTGCTCATTTAAAGGCAAGTCCTGCTATCATATAGGTGTGGGTCATTGCGTCCAAAATGGAAGGGTGATTGTTACCAGTGATGAAGGAGAGAGAAAGTTCATAAAAATCCCGCCTACACTGTGACCGCCGCAAAGTTCTTTCTGCATACCCCCTTACTTGTCCATTCGTATTTATGACCATCGAAAACTTTGAGTTCGCCACCTTTTCTAAAGATTGAGTGACTCTTTAAATGGCGTTACAACCACCTTGGTGGAAGGCACACTCTCTCGCACTACTTTCATCAACTTTTGCGGACCCTGCTTGTTTTAAAGGTTCTGCATGCAAAAAGCGAAACTATGCGTTAATCATGTGTTGTCAACAAGCATCGCCGGCAACATGCATTTCCAAGTGCACGTCAGAAAAATAAAATGACCTTTTCTTTTGACTCGACTTCAATATCCAACTTGCTGCTTGTTTCTTTAATCTCAAGATTCAACGCTTCTGCTTCTGACTTGAGGTACTCTACTGTCATCTCCAGTTGTGGCATTTTTTTGATTGCCTAAAAACATCAGTCATCGTTTACAAACTAAACGAAGATGACCGTTCATCCACACTTCGTTAGAAAAATATTCTAGCGACTCATTTCGGCCGACAGATAAAAATTACCTCTTCTGCTGCATTAATCCTGTCCATGTACACTTTCTCCTTTTCTTTCCATTCTTCCTCCATTTTAGCTGACGCAGAAATGAGGTTGGCCATTTGGGCTTTCGATCGGAGTGCACTTTCCCTCATCTGAATCTGCTACTTCGAAAAAGTACCCTTGACCTACTAGGCTAATCCACCAATAAAAGAGGCACCTCAACCAAATCCTTCTCGAGATTTGCTTTGTAGTCTTCGGCAACGGCCAATCGATCCTTAAGCGAGTTACGCTCAGCTGTTAGAGTTGCAGTCTGGACTTTGAGCGACTCTACTACCTAAGAAAAGTCACATTAGAAGTGTTCTACGACGGAAGAGATATCCTTCTTACTTGTTGAGAAACAGCCTCGTCTTGTTTAGCCTTTTCAATTGCAGCTGAAAGCTCTTCCTTAAGACGGCCTTTTTCAAGTTCCAGCGATTTGAAATATGACTGAAGTTCAGCAAACTCGGCGGCAACCTGAAGTCAACCCATAAAAGTTATAGTGTGACACCAATGGAATGAACAAATGTGCACCTTCTCAGTCTCAGCGGCTTTTTCCTCATACAACTCCTTTCCAAGCTTCAACTCTTCCACCAATGCGATTTTCTCCTTCTTCGCATCTGTCACTTCGATTTCTAGTTTGGAAATAACTTCACCAGCCTAAAAAGGCACAGAATCCACGTCAGCTTTGCCCGAAGTAGATTGCGTGAATGTGGTAGAATAGATTGCATTCGAACTCTTTTAGAATCTGCTTCTTCAACTAACCTCATCTTCATCTTACCTCTTTCTTTTATGCGCGTAAACGCGACAGAAAAAAAAGCGATAAGCGACGACGCGACTTCACCAGAGAAGGTGGGGAGAAGGCAAAGGAGGTCTGGCTCCAAAGGACATCAAAAGCGATTATTACTGCTCAATATCCACCCAGGGGTTCACGGCTGAGGGACTTTCTCCTAGTTTTCTCTGCTTTCCGATTGAACGTCATGTTCTGCGCGTTTCACCCACTTTACGGATTTCACCTATACAGCCTCCTGTTTAGAAACTTTGATAGACCCTTGATTTGGGTAAGAACCAACCAGAAACCATAAGCAGCAACATGTCGGAAGACATGACCAAGGCACCTTTCCCTTAGAGGACATTTTAGAACTGAACCACAAAATTATGCGACCTGTTCAAAACTATAACAATAAAATTAACCATCTCGGGTAATCTAAGCAGTAGGCAGGTGGCGCTTATGCAGTACATGGATCCACAACTGTCCGGGTCAGACATCAAGAGCAAGTGGCTGATGCTAAACTTATCGAGGAAGATAGAAATACCGGCAAATACATCTTTGGAGCAAAATTTGCATTCGGATGGCACTACGACTGTAAAAACCCTAATGAGCGGTGCTCAAGAAGAACTGCTTTAACACAATGAGCTGTTTAGCAAGTAAGACAGCAATCAATGGAACTTGGCGAAACAATATTAAGTCTAAAAAAGAAAATGCTGAGGCATTACCTTTTTCACTTCGTTAGTCAAAGCAGTTTGTTTTTTCATTTTCTCCTCTAGTTCCAACGTTAGCGCTTGCTTAGCAGCTGTACCAGCGGCTACCATATTCTCCAGTTCGCTTACACGAAGGTCAAGCTCCTGAATAAAAGTAACAATTCTCATCTACTACAGCTGGATTGGTCACAAGTGAACGTTATGACGTACTTCTGTGTGGCATTTGATATGATCAACAAGGTTCCCTTCCGCCGCAATAGCTCTACGTTCCGCATCCAACAATGCCGCCTTGGTCTTATCCAACATTTCCGTCAATGTGTAACTGAAGGAAAGCAAATTATTCATACTGAGGTTCACTAATGAGATTTCAAATGTATAACAAAGCCTACTTTTCGTCGCGCAACTGACTGATTTCACGGTTTGCAACATCGCGTGCCAGCTTTTCCGCTTCAAGCTGCTCTTGAACAGCAGCGAACTTGAAAAAGAAATACTTTTTTTCTGGGATATATATAGAAGAAAAACATGAAGACTATCAAAGTCAAATATGAAAGGCATAGGACTGCAAAAAAGTAATCAAAAAAAAACCAACCTTCTCCTCCATACCACTCATCTCAGCCAATTGATTATCAAAAAACTCCGTCTTCTGCTTGATCTGAATCCTCAAATGATTTAATTTCTTCTCAAGACATCAATCGTTGCGAAGCGCTTCCTCACGATCTCATTCCTTCTGTCCAAATCTCCAAGACCGTCTTACACGGCTCAACTCATTCCTGCCGATGAATTGATATATTTCAATCAGTTCCACGTTCAGAGTTTCTGGAAAAAATTTTGAAATTTTGTTCTCACCACCGTTTTCATCAACTCCATCTCATTTGCAATCTGCACATCACGCAGCAGAGCCATCTCGTTTTCGGCGTTACACAGTTGCATTTTCAAGCTCTCAACCAACCCTTCAGACGACTGCTGAACCAAACTGACGACATTTACGCTCGTCAATGAAAAATACGGGTAACATCATTTCCTTACCAAAGATAGGGCAGTCTCGTTAAGTTTCTCTTGCAGCTTGATGTACTCCTCAGCATGTCGGCGATTAGCAGTAAGCAGCGCTTCCTCCTTATCCAGAATCTAAAAGGTAGGATTTAGCGATAAACCCCGAAACTTGCATTGCGAAGAAATATTGCACGTAGAGTAATTTGCAAAGCTCCCAAAATTTGTTGGAAACTCCGCAGATTTATCTGCCTCTAGAATGACGATGGCTTTTGAGTTACGACACTGAAAGCAACAACACCAGGGGCCGTATCCTATAATTCCCTTAGAAGAACGGGTCCCCCACCGCCGATTCAACCCTGTGGTTGGAGGAGAAAGAGTTGCGTTATCGGACCAGCAAACTTGCGTTTCCAGGCTCCAGGCAGCGCTACTCTTCAGAGAGAAAACTGCCGCAAAAGGGGAGGGGAGCTGCAACATCATTCGTTGAGCTACATCACGGGTCCTATGACGCAAACCTGTCTCCTCCAAGCTAGGATAGAATCAGGGTGGGTACGCGTCCCCCTGCGGGAAGGGTATGGTTCTTCCCCAAATAGAATTGGCGAGATGATAGCGGTTGATACTGAGGGTGAGGAAGGTACGTGCCTGGGCGTTTTTTTTAACACAATCGCATCTGATGCACCTATGACATCTCTACTATCGACTATCTTATCCTCTACGCCGGAATCCACGTTGCATGCTAGAAGGTGAGAGGTATCTCGTCAACATTAGCCGCCATCAGATCAACTTGTAAGACCCTAGCGTCAATGTCACGCACTTGAGCGCCTTAACTGCACATCTGTGCTACTCGTGGGCTACTCCTGGGCTACTCGATCCCATCCACTGAACAGATTCTTCGAAACAATTTCTTTTGGGGGTGTTGCTTTCAAAGAGAAATTTCTTATTTGCTAGCAACTATAAAGAAGCGAAATGAGTTCAACAAGGGTGCACGGCAAGCCTCTCACTTTATAGATGACTATGGCACGGGAGGGAGTAAGAGTTCAAAATGAAGGGTCGCATGTTTGAATGAGGCACATTACTGGAGAAGGACATAACTGATTTGATATCAAACCAGTTAGGTACACTCCAAATCTCGGAGTGGCAGGCACCGCACTTGATAGAAATTGCGCGGATAAGCTGCTTCCAGCATGCTTTGCTG